GTTATGGACAAGGTGAATCTTGGCTCAAACCACCACACACGCGCGTGAGCCGCCGTTCGGCCGGCCGAGCCGAGCTGTGCTGGGCGCAAATGTGGGTTGTGGGTCTGGTCGGTTCTTACAATAAATTTTTGGACAAAATTTGTTTGAATTTTTGTAAAAATTCTTGCGGGAAATTAATTCAAATTTTGTACCAAATTTGAACTCAAATTTTCTGTCCAATCAAGTCTCATTCGGTCTAAATTTCCAATAGATTCAAACTATTTTTACAATTTTAAAACTGCCCAATAGTTACAGGTTCAAAACTGCTGCAGATCTGTTCAAATTTGAATTGTATATGTTTATTCAAATTTCATACCTATTCGATTCAAAACTGCATCTGTTCGGATCTATCCAAGAGTCACCTTCTTGCCTATAAATAGAGATCATTTCCAGTAGATTTTCAGATCGAGAAAAATTATCATGCTTCCTATTTTTGCACTCTGCTTGCATTATTCTTCATATTATTTTTAGGAAAAAAATTTAGAGAGTATCGAACACAAGTTTTGTTCGTTGTACAAATTGTTTGGAGTACTACTACAATTTGTGTGAAGATCATTGTATCCTGGGAGATAGACGCCTTTTATCCGTAAGCACCGAAGCGGGGTGAATCTGTCTTAAGAATAGAGTGTCACACACTCGACTTAGTCTAATTTTGTTCTTATTCATTTCGGTAAAATAAATTATGTAAGTAATTTATTTTTATTTGTTTGATTTGTTTCAATTTATTTATTGTACACAGAAGATTGTTCCAACAATATATATTATATATTTATACTTATATAATACAAAACTATGTAGATGATTACATATTTTATGAATAAGAATAATGTGAATTTTTAGAAAGTGTAAATATTCACTCTTTTAATAAATTAAAATAAAAATTAACAAAATATGTAATATGTATCACATTTATTTTTGTGAGAATACTTTTAAAAAATTTTGAAAATAATTTAAAACTATTTTTAAAAAACTAAAAATTGTAAATCTATTTTTTATATTTAAAATTAGATCTTTCCAACTTACAATGAAAAAAACATTATTATTATTTTTAAGTGCCAAAAGATGTGATTATTATTTTTATTTTTAAGTGTCACCATCTCTCTCTCTCTCTCTCTAGATCTCTCTCTCTCTAGATCTCATACTAATTGTACCTTTATAAGGGTTTCTGGCTCTGAGTTGGTTCAGAAGTATGTTGGTGAGGGCTCTTGAATGGTTAGAGAACTTTTTGTTATGGCCAGGTTTGTCCGACTTCATTGATAACATTGTTATTGCCAAAAAATTATAATATCTTGTATATTAGCTTAATAAATCTTTTTAGTCTACAAAAGTGTTATATAGTTCCTCTTACATGTTTTAACTTGTAGTATGTGATATTCTTTTTGGCGGACTTTCTCTTTTCTTTTCTTTTTCATATTTATTTTGGTTGTATTTATGCGAGTAAGGCTATCAGTTGATGAGACTAAAATGCTGTTTTGAACTGCTTTACCTGATCAAATTTGATTGGAAGACATACTGTTGAAGTTGTATTAACAACTTTATAATTTGGGGATAAAAAAGTTAAGAACCCTGCATCTTGGACTGAGTTGTTCAATAATTTGTTAGGACTATATGATAAACTTAGGTATCAATGAGTTTTTTTTAATAGAATAGTTATCCTATTAACTTCTCCACCAAATTTGTTTTTGTTCATAGTGGAGTGCAAGTTAACTTCTCAAACAAATATGTGGCATTTTTTCTTTGCTTCTTTTTTATTATCTTTGAATGATATATTCATATATTCAATATATCATTCAATGCCACATATAAGAAAAAAGATCGAGAAAAAATGCAGGGTTCTTAACTTACATCTTTTTTCTTTGAATTGTATCTGTTGTTCAACTTTTTTTTTATTATCTTTGAATGATATATTCATATATATAGCATATAATAAATATATAAAAAATTATATATTTTATGTGTGTCCTTCATGTGTCATGTCCTATATTTTTTGAAAATTGTTGTATTGGCATGTTTGTGTCGTATCACTTGTCTGTGTTCATGTTTCTTAGAATCTTAGGTAGGCAATAAGGGATAGAAACATGCCACAATGTCAAAAAAGTGGCTGAATGGTGTATTCGTCAAGTGATTCCTATAATGAACTTGAAGTGATTCCTATAATTGCAAGTTTTGCTCCAAAGTATTTTATTTTTTTAAGCTAAAAAGCCATTCCATCTATTATTTGAATATATTGAATTTTGTCTCTGTCTTTGCATTTGGTTTGTGGATGCGTAGGTAGCTGCTTGATGGAACTCCACCACACCTGGAGATCCAAAGTAGAAAATATCAGTGTTTTATGCAAATCACTGATTGGAGATCATCATTTTCATTTAGAATCATCAAATTGCAATGTTTAGCAGTTTCAGGAGCTGAAAACAATATTTTCCAGCACTGGATTCTAATGGCTTTATTTCACTCTTGATTTTTGAATTTAAGATATTTGCCTTTTATTTCATTCTATTAGATTCAGAGTCTTTTCTGGAACCATTTCTTTACCTCCCTAGCAGTGTGTAGCTTTTTATACACCAGTTCTACATGGTTGTGCATCTGTTTTGGTGTCTTTAAAGACAAAAATTACTTTGATTATCTGGAAAATTAGATGCTCTAGGTTGTTATGCTTTATTTTGTACTTTTACTCGCTTACGATATTTCTTTAGCAGCCTGTGAGTTCCCTATTCTGGAGCCCCTTCTCACTTCAGTAGCTTGTCCTTTATTTCACTTTGTCCCGATATGCATTTTGTTGCAGGTTTCATGAGTCTTATCTGAATTTAGAAACCCTTGCCTTGCTCTTCTCTAAGGCCAGTAAACATGAAGGAAGAAAATCTTGTTATTGCTAATGTTGGGGAGCCTACTATTAGAATGACACGAGCTCGAGCTGCTGCTTGTCATGCATTTGGAGGGATTCCACCTTCAGAGGCACTGAAGCAGCAAGGTCAAAAGCAGGTTTTACGGACAAGTTCAAAAAGATCAGCTTATATTGTTGTAAATTGAAAGAAAATTAAATAAGAAAGTATGTTTGTTTCTCATTAACAGAGATAAAAAATGGCTGCTTTAATGCACAAAAAAAATGAAATGTTGAATCGTTGATAGATATTTTGATTGCCCGAGCATATAAAAGCATTACCAAAAAATTGGGATAGTTGAGTTGAGCGGCATTTTTGAGTATAGAGAAGACTAAATTGGTTATTGAACTTCTGGTCATTGACAGCAATAACTAGAACAGAGTCAAAAGTTCATCGTGACCATGAACTTTCCCACTCAAATATTTGAATTTAATTGTTAGATTTGCTGGATGGCTTGGGCTTTCTGCTACAAATGTTATTAATTTTTCTTTACTAAAATCGTTACATGACCTCTGTTAATTATGCTGATTTTCAGAAAAAGAATAGCAAGCAGGCCAAAAAAGGTTCAGTGAATGTTTCCAAGGTTGCCCCCAGTGTAGCAGTCCAAGTGCACCAGCTTCCAGCTGATTCAAAAACAAACATTGCTCAAGAAACTGCAAATACAGAACTTTGTGGTTTTATGTGTTCTAATCGCCTTATCACAGGTCATGCATCTTGATGCTGAGAAAGAAATGATGTCTCAGTGTGCTGCCTTGCTTGGGAAATTCATCGCTGTTCGTGAGCCAAATATTCAATATCTTGGTTTGGTAAGTTACGGGAACACAACAGTTTTTATCTCATTGATGCAACTTATGTTCAAAGCATGCCAAGTTGTAGTATGCAAATGTCAGAATTTGGAAGGTTTGATCTGGTTGTTTTCATCGGTTGCATGATTTATGGATTGATCTGATGCAGGAGACCCGGATGTTGATGGTCTCAGATGTTCAGGACATTATTGAAAGGCATCAATCACAGATCATCACCTCCTTGAAGGATCCAGATATCAGGTTAGTTTAAGTGCTTTGTAGTTTTTTGGAGATACTTTATGCTTCTTCACCACGAGGCACAATGATCTGTTACATGGTAAACAAAAACAAAAGAGAGACTCAGAGAGGGAGAGTGCTTAAAACTTGATTTCTTTCCAACTTTCTATTCATCCTGCTACCTGAATCCTATTTCATTGTACCTATGTATAGGTGTTGTCAAACCTGGAAACTGGTAGAAACATGCTGAAACACTTAATAGTGAATATAGACTTTAAATTGTATTTATAAATTTCTGCAGAGTAAGTACATCATGCATAATAAAACCTCCTGATATAGTCACAAAAAATGAATCTAATTGGTATTTGGTTGATTGTGGATCTTTAATTAAGCATGCCCTGAAGACTTGGGTATTAAACTTGAAGGCCCAAGATTTGAGGATTTAACCTCAAGTTGCTTTTGTATGCTAACAGGTGTTACACTTATCTGAATTTTTATCTTTATCATTGCTTTTATAACTTTAGATATTCGGTTAATATGAAAATGTTACCTATTCATCTATTTTCTTCCATTACAAAGAGATATATTTCATCCCTTCTATTTAATTTTTTCTACTACATTTATTTTATGGTTTCTAAGCTAATAAAACTAGGCACATATTTGTGTAATGTTTTCATCATTTGTCATTACAATAAATGAATGATTGGAGCACCATTGCATTTTGGCAACATGACCTGCACAAATTTGTAGCTTTTGGTGCACATGATTTCCCTACGCTGGTGGGAAGGGTATTCTTGATCCCATCACAGTTTTTCAAGGTGATCTCATTTCTAATACATTCAGGCATATCATTCTATGTTAGTTATTTCATATTCTCTCATTTGATGCTAGGGAAAAAAATATAATTATGTTTTATTTAATTTCCATTGGATACCAGTGTTTTTTTAGTTGTAGCTTATCTACTGTTAAGATAACCTGCTCTGCTTATTGTTGTAAATATATCTTAACTTGTTTTCTCTTGTTTTTTCGGTGACAGGCGAGAAATTTTTCGTTTCCACTATGGCCTTGTATATGTTTCAGAACCAGGGTATGTCTATCATTATCATGTGAATTTAGATTGATTCTTGAATTCTATTCTTATTCAAATCTTGTTACATACTGTATTGGCTGTGCATATATTGGTTAAATTTCTGTGTTTAGTACAAGTCATTTGTGGCAACACGGGAGGCTGTTGTCACCATTTGATATCTAGAGCAGAGAGAACACCTTGAATTTTCTGTTACAATCTCTCAATGGAAATAGTTGTGTACTTACCAATTTCAGATATATGCTTTTTAGAGCTGGAGTTCCTCGGCATGCCATTATTAAAAAGTTTGGAGGTAAGGAAATATCACAACTTGAGGATCTGATTCCTGTACTTACCATTTTTGTTGAAGTTCTTGCTGCTCAGCAAAACCCAGAGAACCCCAATTGGTTCCAGGTAGTATACAATCCGAACTCTAAACCTTCCAGTCTTATATTGTGCAGCATCTTTTCATTTCTGTGAGATTCCATTTAAAGTAGACAATTTGTTTGTAGCTTTTCATTTCTGTGAGATTCCATTTAAAGTAGACAATTTGTTTGTATACCATTAGTGCCGGCATTTTCTGTGCATTTGATAGATGAGTTATGCACATGCATTAAGATAAAAGTTTAATTGTGTCCTCTTTGATATGCTAGACCAAAATTACCAAGTTCAGATCATCCTGATAATTGAAACTAAATCATTCCTGATTTATCTTGCAAGTGTCCTTAATAAGTGGACTAGTTCGATGAACACCATTTATGTTATTGCAAGTGTCAACTATTATGGTTTGATGCAAATATTTGTCAATCTATTGAGTGATCAGTAGTTATTTATTTGGTTTAGACATGTATTTGGAATAGAGTAGTACTAGTAGAGTCAAAATCTACTTTGTGGAACTAGAGATTGCAAATGGTTCTAGTTAATTTTTAGGAGTTAAGTTTGTGAGTCTTTTGGTTCATCAACACAACTTGATGGTCTCTGAATAATGAATTTTCTGGATTCAAACATTAGGATTCAAATTGATTGATTACAAGCTCTGTCAAATCATATGGTTTGGACCATGAATTGGAAAACACGTGTCCATGTTCCCACATATTTTTCTACTAGCAGATGTGTTTGATAATTGAGGAATACTAGTTTCTTTTTGGTTTTTAGATCTTTTTAGATTTTAGACTATTACAAAGAGGTTTCTCATTGTTGCTACCAATAGCTAATGAGTAAAGCTTAAGTTTGTTTGGTTTACTAGTCACTTGGTATCTAAGACCAATGAAGATTACAGATTCTGATTTGTGAAGTCACAATTATTATAAACTTATTACTATCTGATAGAAGCATGTTAAAATATTTTTTTTCTGACTTTTTCTACAATTTCAAAGCTTCAGAGATGACTAATTTATTTAAATTGTTCTTCCAGGTACAAAACCTTCTTCAACAGATGGTGAGTTGTAATGTACATCTTATGTTTTATAGCTGTAACACTTCTACCATTATTGATTTATGCACTTTACCTAATTTGGCTTCCATATTTTGATACAGGCATCCAGACCAGTGAAGATTACAGATTCTATGCTATATCAACTAGGTTCAGTGAATTGAGTATCAAGGACAAGACATTAAATTAAATCAAAACTCAGGGGGTTTGTCTTAATGTTTTTCCTGTTATTTTTTGGCGAATGTTAAAACATAATTTGTGGATATGTTATTTTGTAGTTAATGGTAATTGTATATTAAATTGAATGGGAAAGTGAATTAATGTTGTATTTGCTACTTGGCAGCTTTTCATATAATTGGTTTATCTTTTGACAAATGTTCATTTGAATGGAAACGAGAATTATTGATTCATATTAGTACTATTTTTCAATTTTATTATAGGTATTTTTTGGTTCAACCACATAGAATTTGTTGAATTAAAAAAAAATAAATTAAAAAAATAAAGATATAATGGCGTTTTTGAAAATGCCACTATACAGTCAACGGTTATATTTTTAAAATCGAAAAAAAAGCAATGACGACGTTTTTAAAACGTCGCTAAAAACAGTTATGACGTCAGTTTAACGTTATGTATCACATTTAGCGGCGTTTTTTAAAATGCCGCCTATAACCATTTAACGACGTTTTTAAAGCGCCCCAATGTTATAGCGACGGCCGCAGCTTCGACGTTTGGTGATAAGCACCACACAAAGAATTAACGGCGTTTTTGAAAAACGCCGCTAAAAACGCCGCTAAAAGCTGAATTTCCTGCAGTGCATGGGCATGAAATAACGGATTTTGAGGGGGGGGGGGAGGAGCAAGGGAGTAGATGGTGTTATTTATTGGCATGTACTAGGCACCTTGATCAATTGCAATAAATGCATTTTCTACCCTTGGATTCTTTTTATTTTTATTTTTGATAATACTATATACACCAATTGATGTACATATTAATGTATCAACTAGTGTTATAATATTATTATTGACCACATTTATTATATAAGTTACAAATACTCAAAACCATACAAATGATACCACATCACACTAATGTATACATTAATTAATACATATAACATTATTTTTTTATTTTTATTTTATATTTTGGATCTTTAACTTTTTATTATCTATCTTTAAAATTGCAATAAATGCATTATGTACCCTTAGATTCTTTTATTTTGTATTTTTATTTTATATTTTGGATCTTTAATTTTGTATTATCTACCTTTAAAATTAGCAATATATTATTTTATCTAATTGGACTCCATTGTAATTTTTAATATTATCGCATATCAATAATAAAAACGAAATCTATCTCTCTTTCTCCCTCTCTCTCTTTCTACTTAGAGCATCTCTCTTTAAGCCTCCCTCTCTAAACTTTTTGCTAGGTGTGCCACCAGGGATGGGAAGGGTTCTGGCTGTCGGTCTCCTCTCTCCTCTTTCTATAATTTTTTTTTTGATTTTTTACTTTATAATATTGGACGTTTGTCATTCCAACATTTTTTGCCACCTACCCACCTCCATTGATCACTTCAACAAATTACACTTTTGGCGACTAAATTTTTAATCTCAAAAAGTCATATTTTGGTCACCAAAACGTTTTGTCGACTAAATATTTTGGTCGCTAGCTTTGTCATTGGATGATTGTCGGGAAAGGTATTGGTGACTAATTTTTTTTTAGTCGTCGAAAAAATTTAGTCGCCCAAAATTTTCAATAAATGTGCTTTTTTGTTTTAGCGACTAAATGTTTAGTCGCCAAAAACCGTTGGCTTCTTTTTGGCTACCAATTATTTAGTCACTAAAAACGTGGCACTCCTTTTTGACTACTAATTTTTTAGAAGCTAAAATCATGGCACTCATTTTTATCTACTAGTTTTTTAGTCGCCAAAACTTTTATTTTTTTTGGCTACTAACTGTTTAGTCGCCAATAATTTCTTTTTTTATTTTTTAGCTACTAAATATTTAGTCCCCCAAAGCTCTATTTATTAATTTTTTTTTTAAAAAATGCACAAATTAAATATTTTTCATTAATTTCTAAATTATATGCATTCCATTATCAATGCAACCTGTAACTTGTACATATACAGAATAATACATCTATTAATTATAATCTAAATCCATTATTAATAATACCCATTTCATTATCAACTATCCGAAAATTTTAACTTGTAACATTGTATTCCAAATATCATATAAATCTATACCAACCAAGTATAATCCATCTAAATTAAATATTACATACAAAAACATTGGATTTCCAAAATAGAGGATTGTACAAAAATAAATGTCCTCTATATATAGAACAAACGATTTTCGTACACAAAAATAAATATTCACAATAGCCCACGCAAAAGCAATCTGTAAAAAAAAAAAATTAACCATTTTCTTCTATGTTCTCCCACTGCCAAATCATAAATCAAACAACCACCTCAATGAACTTATTTGAAGCCCACAACTTGGCAATATCCGAAAGCTTGCTTTCCTCAATTGTTGACAATTCAGAAGAAATAACTCAACAATCTCAGCCTCAATCCCACAGCAATGCATTATATTGACAGTCTCCAAATGTTTACAGTTTTTGAACATCAAAACTATAGCTACTTTTGTCAATCCTTTACAAACCCTCAACCTTAATTTGCTCAAAGAATTACATCAAAACTATTCATTTCTTTCCCATTTTACTAACTCAACCAAACCACAAAAAAAGGGCATTTAGTTTCTTCCCCTTCATTTTCTTTTCCTTTTCATTTATGTTCACAAATTGAAGGACCCAAATCAAATAAATAGCGTAAAGAAACCACAACAAAATTCAACATGAATTCGATACTAAAAAGAGTTATATTTCAACTACTTCTAAAAGCTACATTTTCCCCTTCATTTATCTTTGTAGAGAAAACTGAGTCTTAACCATTCCCCTCCATTCAATAAAATTGACATTTCAAATTATGGTCAACCAAGGAAACATGTGTTCATTGAACCAAGGCTTTAGGCCACAACAAGTAATGTTCTTTCCCCTTTTTATCAATTAGAGAAGGAAATATGTTTATAAATGCCATAATGACCTTGTTAAAGTCGATCAATTTTTATCTATTCATGCTATGACAAACACAACAGACCCATTTCTCAATGGCTATCTAATAACAAACTGACATGACATTTAAATGCAAATCAAGGCCTTTTACGAAACCTGAGGATTACAAGTTTTTTTTCTCATCTTAGGGACAATTGAAATTAAGTAAATTTTAGATTATTTTCCTCACTTTAACTCATTAATTAAAAGAGAAATAATTTTGAAATAAAACTTCATTAATCTACAAATACAAAGCACACAGTCACTTTATTGCAAAATGCTTTAAAAAAAAATCATTACCAAAAGATATTTGAGGTTGGTTATGCTAATATCATCTTTTGTCTCGTTCGACGAAAACAACCCTAATTTGCCTATCATTTCCTTGTACTGTTGCAAAGCTTCACATCCCTTTCTCAGAGATTTCTACAAAGCTCCATAATCAAGCACTCTACTTAGAGATTCGTACACTAATATTTACATCAATACATTCATATATAGAGGGATTACCTGATCAATGCCAGATTCAGAAGTTGATAGATGAATCTTTCGAGCTTGATTGAACAGAACAGGAAGAGACATCAAAACACTACAAATATAATTAACTATTAAAATATAAACTTAGATACATACTGTGTGATTCTGTCATTGTCTTGAGTTTTGCTTCCTTAAAAGAAGATGGTATTTACAATTGGAAAACCTTAGCACCAGTTTTTTCCCTCATTCTCCTAATCTTTATGTTGTCTTTTCAATGAGGCTCACAACCCTTTGATCTACATATATATAGATATATGTAAACCCTAATAAGGATAGGAGAGAGGAATGTGCCTAAATATAATAATTACTAGGCTCCCTTATTAAGGAACCCAAATAACTTAAAACAAGCCTTACACCTCCATGCCATATATCCACATATAAAATAATAAACACACCAAGATGGACCATAGCCCAAAATTTTATGGATCACAATAATAATTTTGGGCTCATACCAGTCAATCTGTCTGTATCACTTTCAACTCGTTTTTCACAAACCAAACAAAATACAATCAATGACAGCCTAATTAAGAACAAATTCTTACATTCTCCCACTTAGGCAACATTGACTACTAATTTAAGAAAATATTTTATTTAAGAAAAATTACTCTCGGGTTAAACAACTTTAGTGGCCACATAAACAAGATTCAGAATAGAAACATCTCAACACAGAATCCTGTTTAATGAGAAATATTAAGGTTATAGCGATCCCGGTTTTGACCCGACCCTTGTGGTATCCCGGACTCGTGTTTAGTGATTTCATACTATTGTTTATATCTTGCTTCCCTTGTATCCCCTTAAATTTGACTTTGAGATTGTTGTGGTTGCGTTTGGAACATGTTGGTTGCTTGTTTTTCCAACTTTTGTTGCCTAGGATTTTGGCCCCCCGCTCAAGCAGCACTTCTTGCTCTTGAGCGGGATTTGCAAACTTTCAATACTTTTGCAGGTCGGCAAAACTACTGGGTGGGTGTATTCGACACTTGAGTGGCGTTTCTTACTCTCGAGCGAGTTCGCGCTCGAGCGATTGGTATGTTGTCTGCAAAACTGCCGGAAGTGTGCATTTTACGCTTGAGCGTCAATTCTTGCTCTTGAGCTCGAGCGGAACAAAATGTTGTGTCTGACGCTCGAGCGTTAATTCATACACTCGAGTGGACTGTGCGTATATCAGTCCGAGAAAGTCACTTTTTATATCACTCTTTCACATCTCTTTTCCTCACTACTTTTCAAAAAAACCTAGATCTTCATCCCCTCTCTCTCTCTCTCTAAAAACCCTCTCTCTCTCTCTTTCTCTCTACATTTTCTCCTTGATCTAGTGGGTTCTCTACCCTAGTGCCTTTGTTAAAAAGTTAAAGCATCTCAAGATCTTTGTTTTCATTTGAATAGAAGTTGGTTTCTACGTCGTTGGAGTTTCTTCTTTTGCTTTGCTCAACTCCAAACTTCGAGGTAGGGATTTCTACACTTTTATATGGCTTTTAACTTAGCTATGGATTGTTGTGTAACAATGGTGGAATTTGGGGTGTTGTGAACAAACCTAGGGTTTGGGTATTAAATCAAAAGAGGGGTTTTTAAGTAAATGAGCTATAGATGGTTATGAGATTGAATATGAGGCCATATTATGTCAACATAGTTGATTTTGGCATTTGGTTTGAAATTTGGGAAAATGGGAGGTTGCCCTAAAATGTTTCAAATATTTATTTTGTATAAATAAATAAAATTGATGTTGTAAATATAAAATGGGATGGAAGTTGATATAAATGATGGTG